GCAAACTGCAGCTCGCGAACCACATGCAGCTCTCTTGCCCCTTGAGTGTGGCTCTTCCACGAAATACCGACTTCCGTGCATGGGCCACGAAGTTTCAATCGTACTGTACGTGCGCACCCGCACGTGGTATTTTGTGGAAGAGCCATACTCAAGGGGCCAAAGAGCCGCAGTTTGCTGACCACGGGGTTAGGGCAATGTTTTATTTTTAATTACGTAAGTAATGTGTGCTCATTGTAACTGGAGGAAAAATTTCTCTCCCTCCATTTCCATTCCCCAAGGTAACAGTGATACAGCAGAAATGTCCTTCTCTACCTTCTCCTGTGCTGTACCTTTGTTCATATATACATGTTTAATAGTCTTTGTTTTGCTTAGTTTTTAGCAAAATGGGGACTATAACATACACATTTTTTGCAGTTTGCTTTTCTCAATCTGTGTCTCTATCCAGATGACTATAAATAAAACTTTTTCCTTTAAAAAAGAAATTTGCATAATGTTGCAAAGTATGAATATGCCAGTTATTCAGCCTTTTCTCTTTTTTGTATTCAGATTATTCCCCTCCCTCTTACTCTGACAAACAGTGCTTCAGTCAATGTTTTGTTTGGAAAAAAATTTTTTGTTTGTGAAAAGAAAGTATATTTTGTTTGTGTACCTAATGAGTTGGTGCTTTTGTTTCTAGGTTATAGCATATATTTTTTTTTCTCCAGTTTTAAGATATTTTCAGAATTACTTTTCAGAATGGTGTTTTGTGAAAGGGTCATATATGTAAAGTGGCCCTCAAACACTGAAGAAACCAAAAGGCCAAAGAACAAGGCAGACAAGTCCACCTTGTTGGTTGAGAGTTTAATAGGGAACTTGCCTACAGAAATTCAGTCTCAGATGGCAGCAAGGCAAAGTGGACTCCTGTGCCTTCCACCCCTCACCCCCCAATCCCCGCCCCTTGACCATGTGCTTATATCTCCTAAATCAGAGAATGCTTGGGTGATCAAAGGGATCATGTGCCAGAGCCAGTTATGTAGATAACATTGAGGGCGACTCATCCCAGAGGCATTGTTCAGAGCTTTGTGTGCATATTCCAGGGCTCACACTGGGGAAGGGGAGGACAGATTCACCCAGAGGTCAAAAATGCAGATTAGTTTTAAGACAGAGTTAGCTCTGTCTGCACAAATGATTATCATTTACACTTTTATTAGCAGTGTGAATGCCCATTTCTTGAATCCTCTTTGCCACTCTTCTTCTTAATATTCTAAGTTTTAAAAAAATGACTCCCAATTTTTTCAACTTTTATAAATTAGAATGTCTTTTTATGTTGTTGGGCATTTGAATTTTTCCTTTCTATCTGTAGAATCTCTTTTATATTGGGGATAGTAACGTAAATATAAGCATTTTAAATAAAATTTTCTAGTGTGTTTTTGTCTTTTGGTTTTTATGTTATGTTTTGCCATTCAAGACGTTTTCCTTTTTTACATAGTTCAATTTCTCTTGACAGATTCTGGGTTTTCCTTGTTGCTTAGGATGGTCTTCCTCCTTTAGTAAAATATTCTCATAAATTTTTGTCTAAAATACTTTGTTAGATTGATATCTTTAATACATCTGAAATTCATTTTTGTAAATAAATATACTAGAGGCCCAGTGCACGAAATTTGTGCACGGGGGCAGGGGGCTGGGTCCCCTCAGCCCAGCCTGCACCCTCTCCAATCCGGGATCCCTCACAATCCTGGACCCCTGGCTCCTTATTGCTTGTGTGCCTGCCTGG